TGAGGGAGGCGTGTTAGGACAGGTAACATATCGGGAAGAGATCAATTTCAAAAACAATCTCGTAGGGCCGCTGCTGGAAGATAATGTCTTACGATCAAGTTTAATGTACACACACACACACACACACACACACACACACACACACACACACACACACACTACTACTACTACTACTACTACTACTACTACTACAACTTTGCTGTCACTCGGAATCGAGTATGACCATCATCCAGCTATGATACAATAATATGAGTTAATAGGGATGTCACCTAGGTTGGTGAGTGTTTGGGTGACTAAAGAGGCCGATAGGGGACCGGCAAAGCCGTTCACATCCGTTGCACATGTGGAGGGCTGCATCTAGTGCGGGAGGGGCGGGTGCAATGTTTTTTCCGGCGTTGGCGTTTGTCTGCCTCGGTTTACAGTCTGGCTAACTCGAAAGTATTGACACCTTCTCGTGTGGTGCTCCTCCAAGCGTTACGATGTGGAGTAATCGACTCCCAGGTGAGGGGGTCGATGTGGCACTTTTTCAGGTTTGTCTTAAGACTATCCTTATACCTTTTCAATGCCCGCCGGCGTTACGTTTACTATTCGTTAGGTGACTGTAAAGTAGCTGATTTGGCAGTCTACTGTCATCCATGCGGGTAACATGACCAGTCCAGCGTAGTTGTTCATGGATAATGGTAGCCTCGATGCTCCTAAAGTTGGTGTCAGCAAGAATACTGGCATTTGTTCTCTTGACTTCCCAGCAAACAAGGAGGAGGGAACGTAGACTACGTTGGTGAAAGTGCCTTGAGGTGCCTCCTGTATGTGACCCATGTCTTACTGCCATATAGCACGGTGGGGAAGACCACTGATCGATATACGTGTAACTTTGTAGATAATTTCTGCTCCCTACAGCTGAAGACACGGTTTCGAAGTCTGCGAAAGACTTGAGATGCACATGTAATCAGATGCTGAATCTCTTCATCGATGTCGGCAGTGGTGGACATTGGGAGCTGAGATACCGAAAGTGGGTAACATTAGAGAGGGTAGTACCGTTAAGCTGGATGGATGGTGGAGGTGTGTCTGAACCAGGTGCAGGATGAAAGAGAATGTGAGTCTTACGTACATTCACCTCAAGGCCGAAGTGTGCATAAAAATTTGGGTAGGTGTTCAAGATCTCCTGTAGGTCGTGTTCAGTGTGAGCAACACGGGTGAGGTCGTCTGGATACTGAAGTTCAGTAATGGAAGCTGCCGACACCCTTGCTCTTGCCTGGAGTCGTCTTATGTTGAAAAGACCCCCTTCACCCTGTACTCGATGTCCACTCTGCCGGCTAAACTTGCACTAGCACGAGTAAGGAAGGCAGCCAAGAAAATGGAAAAGAGAGTTGATGCCAGTACACACCCTTGTTTAACCCCCGTTTGGATGGGGAAGAACTCAGACTGGGTGCAACTGGACAGCCAAAACGGCTGAGGGTCCACCAGAGGGCTTCCCTGTTGACCGAGTCGAAGGCCTTGGTTAGGTCGATGAAAGCCATGTATAGGTCACGACGCTGTTCTTTGCACTTGTCACTCTATCTGGCGGGCAGCAAAGATCATGTCAGTGGTGCCATGTGATGGTCTGAAGCCACATTGAGGTTCTGGGAAGAAGTTTTCCGCCTCAGGAAGAAGTCTGTTTAGGAGGACTCGGGCGATAATCTTGCCAGCTACGGAGAGCAGCGAGATCCCACGGCAGTTGCCATAGTCTGACCGGTCTCCTGCTTTATACACCTCGGCTGGTATTCCATCATCTTTGTTACTTTTCATTCGTTTGATGGCAATATCTACCTCATCCTGGAAAGAGGATAGCTGAGGTGGGTCAGCTCTGGATGCTGAGGGACCTGCTAGGTAGTCAAAACATCCACATCGGTCTTTCGGTTGAGCAATGAATGGTAGTGCTCTTTCCAGCGCTGAAGGCAAGGCCTTCATCGTCTTTAATTATGAAGTTACCATCGGATGAGCGGAGCGGTGCTGCATCACAAGTGATTGGCCCATAAAATGTTTTAGTCGAATTAAAAAATTCGAGCACTCTTGTGCTAATCTGCAAATTTTTGTGTTTCACGTGCTTCATTTTTAAACCAGTCGTTCTTTAGAATGCGAAGTTTCCGAGGGGCCGCCGCTTTCTCTTTGCGAAAGGTATCAGCTTTGGTCCGAGACTGAGGGTTGTTCTGCCAGTCAGTAAAAGCAGTACTTTCATCATCGATGAGTACATTGATTGCCGGGTCATTTTCATCAAACCGGTCCTGGTGTATTCTTTCGATCTGGCCGAGGGTCTCTGCAGATTTTTGTCATGACAGTGTCGAGAATATCCCATTCGGCACTGGGATTTGCGTTGTTTGCTGTCAGGTTGTTTATCAGCCCATGTTCGAGCTGCTCTCTGAAAGCGTGCGCTACCGCTGGATCCTCCAGAGGCTTTATGTTAAAACCTCTTCTGGAGGCTTGATGCCTTCGCCGTTAGGGGCGACGTGAAGTGAGAGCTTGGCTCTGACAAGCCGATGATCAGTGTCACAGTGGTCTAAGCCACGCATGGCACGGGTGATGAAAACATCTCGGCGATCTCTTTCTCTGACAATGATGTAGTCACTGAGATGCCAGTGTTTGGATCGTGGGTGTTGCCACGAAACCTTGAACCTGTCGGCCTGCCTATACAAGGTATTGGTGATAGTGAGGTTGTGTGCAGCACACTTTCTGAGGAGGAGTAGGCCGTTGGCATTACACTTGCCTAGTCCATTTTTCCCTATGGTTCCTGCCAAATGTTAGCATCTCTGCCAACTCTGGCATTGAAGTCACCAAGGAGCACAACCTTGTCTTCTTTGGGGAAAGAGGTTAGCGCTCTGTCGAGGTCGGCGTAAAAGGCCTCCTTAATGTCATCATCTGCATCCAGTGTTGGGGCGTATGCACAGTTGAAAAAGGCTTGACGTGAGTGATTCAGTGGGACTCGAAGCGTCATGGGGCGCTCGTTGATCCAAATAGGAATTTCATTTTGCCTGTGTAGGATGCGTTGGCGGAGGGCAAAGCCAACTCCATAAATGCGGTTTCTCTCCGGTACTGGCTTACCTTTCCAGAAGAAGGAATTGCCAGACCCCCGGTCTGTGAATTGACCCTCATCTGGGAGCCGGGACTCACTAATCACTGCTATGTCGATGTTATACCTAGGCAGCTCTTTTGCCGCAAAGGCAGTTCTTCTTTCAGGACCATAAGAGGTTGTATAGTTTGTTTTTGTTTGGATCTGTGATTTTGATTGGATCTGTGATTTTGATTGTGTTTTCGACCGCATAAGGATGACATTATTGGGTGCGATTGCCCAGTCAGGTTGGTTCTTCAGGCAGTCTATGTTTAGGGCACCTTTTCTAGCCCCCTCCTCCCCGTGTGGGATCAGCAGAGTGGCGCCCCAATGGAGCTACTCAGTCGAACAGACAGGACCGATTGCACTGCTGTCTAGATCCCAGTGCATAAACGACCATCTTATCTGTGCCGCCCATGTGCAGAGTTGTGACTAGAGACTCCCGGCAGTCATCTCTGCCTGTCCCCGTCACCTCTCGTCTGTCACCATAGGACTTTTGGGGGTATAGTGGTTTTGATGATGATGAATGGTCTGATGAGCTGGAGTTAATTTACGTGGTGAGGCAGGAGCGCAGGCTGCATCCACACATCTTGGCTCTCCCTTTTCCTGATTCAGTGGTGCAAGTGTTGCAACGACTGAGGAGAGGGAGAGCTGCAATGGACTGCCGATAGCCCAGTTTGTTGGTTTTCGCCTTAGTATCCTGTCCATCATGCATTGCGTTCGTCTGCCAGTGTAGTCGTTGGGCTTCCACGGTGGTCACCTCTACCGCCTATACCGCCGCTGAGGTCTTGTTGGAGTTCTGTAAGCATGTCTGCCTGATGCGGGGCTCCACCACAGATTTTTCGTTCAGGGTTTACTCCTGTATGTTTATACCTATTAAGGTTAATCTGCACGCACGCACGCACGCACGCACACACGAGCGCGCACACACACACACACACGCACACGCAAACGCGCACGCAAACGCACGCACGCACACGCACACATTATAATTATTCTTATTATTGCTCTTTCTCTCTTTCTCTTTGACCTTTTGACCTCAGGATATATGGCAGGTCGAAGTGGTTGTCATAAGAAATATATAAAGACGTGTTAGTTCACCCTGGTCCCTACCTATGCTGCCAACACCCACTTAGCTGACCGGGCTGACATGGGTGGTACTCTCAGCCCTACTCGTAATAATAGAATAATAATGACTCTGATAACTGTTACAGACAATGATAATAACAATAACATACGAACATCAAGAACAATAACGACACCCAAACCCCTTTACCACATAGCCTCATAAACCCGTAGCCAGATAACACATAATCGGTACAGTATCTCTCTGACACAATAAGCCGGAGTGATCAGTATACTTAGCGGTCATAGCTTTCTTCAAGTAACAAGTGTACGGAAATTCAACATTTATTAGTGTTAAGTGTTTTGGGATAATTGTGACAGATTATTTTCGAATATTTCTGCATCTTAACTACTGTTAATTCGAATTTATATGTAACTAAAAGTAATAATTCAGATAAACAAATAATAAACTGACTGTGAATATATTTGTATTCGTGTAAAGAAACCAAACTAAACTAAACCAAACTAAACCAAACCAAACTAAACCAAACCAAACTAAACCAAACCAAACCAAACCAAATTTAATTTAAGTAAACTCTTATAATGTTTAAATAGCGGTTGACGTCAAATATCCAATAAAAACAGTTTTACCGTATGTGCACTAATTTTCATTAAGTTGTGTTAATAATGACAAAAGATTATTCCTGTCTCACAAGAATCCGTTTCATTAAAGTTTATTCTAGCGATTATCCTTTAAGCACAAGACATTAGCACCCCACTTCTCCTGCTTAGTAAGACTATAATATTAGGTCTTCCTCAAAAACCAGCCTAACGCTCCCTTCTCCCGCAACAGGAATGGAAAGACTACAAGTTGGTGTGGGAGCCTGAGGACTACGGTGGAGTCGAAATCCTTCATGTGCCCTCTGAACACATTTGGCTGCCAGATATCGTCCTCTATAACAAGTGAGCATCGTCTGTTTTACTTACTGATTCTGATGATTTTTTGCTATTTCTAGAAACAATAATATATGTATTTAAGTGCATTTAATTTAAGTTTTTTTTATTTTTTTTTCTGTGATTGTTAAATGATACAGATAAACAATTAAACGTTTAGAATATTAGTATTTTTAGATCACCCGACAGTGGAGTTCAATTCCAATATGTGCTACTTAAACACTTTAGACTGCCAGATATCGCGCTGTTTAACAAGTAACCATCATGGACAGCACTCGCTACTATTTACTTTAACATGTCAACAGCAAGCAATTCTATTTCATATGTTTTGATCCGTCGACCAGAAACATGTAGTGTGAGTAAAATTTTAACTTGTGATATAATATATACTACCAGTTGTAAATATTTTGCTTGCGATCACTTTCCTCACTACTGCTTTCCGCTATTCATTATCATTAACTATTCACAAATAATTCTCTTTCCTGGGTGTTAACGTGACTAGCTGATACACGCATTCCAGGTAATATTTGGACGAATTATTCAATATCTGCTGTCAATTGCCGATGATTTATTTCCAACAATTGGATGATTATTTTGGGTAGAGGCACAGCAGTGTCTGATATGTCCAGGTTGGGATAAGTATTGGCATGCCGGCGTAGCGTTGCTCTATACTAATTCCGTGAACGTCAGCTGGCTGGACACTCAGGTATTGTCAGGTGTGTGGCACCCAATAGTCACAATCACACCTGCCGCAACGGGGGAGAAATGGATATATATATTATAGACTGTATATATGTTAGTATGATTGGTTAGGAACGGCGGCTTTATGTGCGGATATTATTGAGTATTGCAGCTACAATAAGTATATACTGTATGGGACTATGGCTAGGCATTAATGGATATATACAACTATACTGCGTGTGTGTGTGTGTGTGTGTGTGTGTGTGTGTGTGTGTGTGTGTGTGTGTGTGTGTGTGTGTGTCCAGAACATTATCACAACACCATATTATCGGTAACTGGTAATACAAGAAATAATCCTCACGTTGTGCAGTAATGTACACACAATATTGGTTTCCGTTAATATCCAAATGTATTATTATTATGTTGTCGAATATTATATTTATTTTGGTCTCTCTCTCTCTCTCTCTCTCTCTGAACATCACTCACTCACAAAAATACCCCCCCCCCCTCGTGGTCCAGTACCGTTATGAAGAAGAAAGGAAATAGATATTTGACATTGTAGGGAATTATTAATCCCCGGGGGGAAGTGTAAATAGATAGATGGGTCTACATTATTGACTCTTAAGTAATGGTGTTCTAATTAGGGTCCTATGAGCTGTATCTTGTGGTTACCATGGTTACCGCTGGGGGTGGAAGCATGGAGGAGAAGGAAGGTACTTTTGTAGGTGTGGGACCCGAGTGATGAGGAGAAGAAGGAGAGGCAGGTGTTTTGGAAGGTCAATTGTGTGAGGTGTCTTCTATATAGACAAGCCTTGAAGAAAACAAAATGGAGTAACGGGATTCAAGTGATGAGTCCCTCAACACAGGCAATGCAGAAGAAGAGGAATGTTTTACGACAGGAAATTTATTTTCAACAATTACTGCAGTGGAGTCAGATTCATCAGGAGTGACTGAACATCTTATAGTGAAGGTCATACGGGTCATCGTAGTTCCAATATGACTAAACCACAGCTGAAAAAATAAATACTCTCCAATGGTAATGATCTGACTTTCTGAACGAAGCAGATGTCAAATCCACACGGACACAACACCCAACCCACATAAGGGTCAACACCACGACTTGTTACGACATAAACACGTCCTTGCCCGCCACTGTACCAACACCCATTTAAGCTGCATCAGTTTCCAGAGGACGAATGTTTTACTCGGCTTGTTGGTGTAGTAAGAAGCCGGAGTGGGGGTCCTTGTGGTGGTGTTGGAGTTAGTAATCGTAGTAGAAACTCTTATGGTGGTGACGTTGGTGGTGTTGGTGGTGTTGGTGGTGGAGGTGGTGGTGGAGGTGGTGGTGTTGGTGGTGGAGGTGGTGGTGGAGGTGGTGGTGTTGGTGGTGGAGGTGGTGGTGTAGGAAGTAGTTTTCGAAGAGGCGTTGATGGTGACGGTGTTCGTGGCCGTGGTGAAAGAATTAACAGATCTTGTGGCGGCAATGTTAACAAGGTCAACAGCTGTTGAAGTGGTACATAGCAGCAGAAAGAAGAGCTTCATTAGTGGTATGAGTGACCTACAGAGAATACAATGTGGATGTTGATGAAGTGAGGAAGGGGAGGGAACAACACACACACACACACACACACACACACACACACACACACACACACACACACACACACACACACACACAGCTTGAGCGCACCAGCCAAGTACTCACACACACACCGACAATAACGGTGTTAGCTTCACAAGAGTCTCACATGAATAGTAACCTGGATCTCGGACACCCAAAAGATTTCCACTCGTTGAAGAAAGTCGTACACTCTCACACCCTTAGGACACACCCCTTAGGACACACCCTTAGGACACACCCTTCAGGAGACACGCCCTTCCCTCACTCCCTCACTTGCATACGACTCTATACATTCATACTGTTCTCACACACTCATAATGTTCTGTCTCATACACTCACATTACTCATACCGCAATGGTCTTGTACACACAATTGCAAGTCACACACACACACACACACACACACCGTCCCTCACACTTTACAAATTCACAAGATACAGTTATCACACACACACACACACACACACCGTCCCCACACTTTAGCTGCCGTCAACCTCACACAAGATACAGTTATGACACACACACACACACACACACACACACACACACACACACACACACACACACACACTTACCCACCTACACTTGAAAAAAACTCTTACAGTCCTCTGGCATTCAAAAGCCCGTCACGCTTATACACACAGGCATGACTTTCACATATTCACAAGCACACAGACACACACACAAACACACTGTTTTCACTCGACTCCTTTAAGTATTCATTCAAGCAGCAGGACCCCAGCATCTGTGTGCGTGTTATATGGTCATCATCGTTATGCTGTGCCTGACGGTGACAATTACTGTCTGTCACTCTTGATGTCTGAATCAGTATTGCAGCCGCCCATCCACCTCAGAGATCCTCCCAGGAGTCCACCTAGGAACATTCGTCTAAGTCTTAGTCTCTTACAGGAGAAAACCTTTGAAAATGAGGAGAGGGGAAAAAAAGGACATTTAGAGGTAATGTGAACACCGTGTTTGGAAATTTGGGAGATCCTCGAGTTTTATTTGGCCACTGACCAATTCCTTGTTCTATTCTAAGGATCACATACTCCTCGGCACTTACTTTCCCATCAGTTAGCGGTAATTACCTTCCTCCCTTCTGTTTTTTTATCTACATTTTTCTTTTCCTTTTGTTCGTCGCATCCACGGTGCTACCTCGTCTTCTCCATTACCTCCTCCCCCCTTCGCCTCCTACCCTCGCACGTTTCCTGTTGGAGGTTGAGCAATAAAACAGCCGCGAGCAACAAGCCCTTACTTTAACTGTCTCCTTGTTTTGGTTCTTGTTCTTTATCTCCTTGTTATCTTATTCCTGTGTTTGTCACCTGAGAGATGTTGTTGAAGGTGTGGGTCGTCGGGTACACATGATGATTTTGAAGTCGCTTTATTATCATGTTATTTTTTAGTAAATAATTTGTTGCAGGATTTTGTCTCCAAGCTCCACTGTATGAATCTTTAGCTCAGGTAATAGTAAACTTCAAGTCATTTTATTTTTTAGTAATTTATAAATAAATACTTTTTAGGGACATTAAATTCTCACCAGTCATTAAGTTGATTTAAATTATAAACAATGTTTCAGTGACAGAAAATGAAGAAATAAAATCCAAATACATTATACGGGCATTATTTTGTTTTTTTTAGTAAGATAAGCAAAAGGAAAAATTAAGAAAAAAGATCAAGAGTGAGAAACAATATATGTACAGTATGTTGTGTTGTCAATAGTAAGAGAAACAATTGAAACCCTGCAATTGTGTGTAAATGAAGCAGAAAGTCAGATCAGCAATTTGGGATTTAGTCACAATTTTCGTGATGCTTATGGCAGCAGGGTCTACCATTAGAGCGGGCACGTTCGTGCCCTTGTGAGAGTTTGAACGCTCGTGACAGCGTACAGCGAATGAGTGTGTGCCAAGTCCGTAGACTTGCATTGTTAATTAGGGTGCGCCAAGTCCTTAGACTTGCATCATTTTCCATCGTAAATATAATGGTTAATTAATGCCTTCCTAAAGAAACCATCGACTTGGGACCAGGTTTGTTCCACTCTACGAATTTTTTGCGAGTTTTCCACCAAGTTTGATGAAAAACGATTGTGCCGTTTCGGCTGCCCAGAACAGACACACACACAAACAGACACATGGCTAGTCCTATAGTACATTAGATTGTGCCTCCAATATCTTCCCAGGCGGTAGTACCTTCCTGATTGGTAGCTGCCTACTACCTAATACCTGTTGATGTAAAAAATTAAGTAAATAGAATAAGATAAATAAATCAAATAAACACATACACACACACACACACACACACACACACACACACACACACACACACACAATATATAATAAATAATGGATGCCCCTCGTGTAATGAGGATGGCCGGTTCAAGGGCCACCTAGGCGTGAATTTGTCTAAGGTGTAGAAGCTGTCGCCAACACAACAACCACACCCTAAGTTAACAAGTTGCATGACCCAGTGTCAAGGAATAGTCCAAGAAGATCGGACAACTCGCCAACTGCACTGGCTAACCATTATCCCGGAACACGATCCGTAAATCGATTAACATCCAGGTTCCCAATTACTGCTAGGTGGACAGGGGCAAATGGAATAAAGAAACTTGCTCATAATTTCACCCTGCCCGACCCTGCCAGGGGATCGAACCCGGGTCCGCTCGCTTGAGATGCGAGCATGCTGACCATTACACCACAGGTAAACACACA